TCTTCTTCTTCTTCTTCTTTTTCTTCTTCTTCTTTCTTCTTCTAAGGACTTTTTTCTTTCTTTAAGAACTATAATTGTTGTTGACGTTTTTGCTTGTTATTGATTTGTGTTTTGTTATTTTTGTGTTTTTTTGTAATCGTTATTCATATTATATTGTTGTTAATTATCATTATTTGTTTATTATTGTCATTATTCTTTATTATCACTATTATTATCATCATTATCATTATTAGTATTAGGATAAGCATTACTATAATTTTTCATACTATTGTTATCAATATTGCTATTGTTATTATCAGAGCCATAGTTATTAGTATCTTTTATGTATTTCTCATTTTCATTATTTTCGTTGTCGCTTCTATTGAAATATTGATAAGTATCAATATGTAATCATTATTCTGCATGTTGATATCTTGATCATCGTAGTAGTATCATGTAACCTATATTATTATTACTATTATCTGTATCTGTAAGATAATTATTCTTATTTCTCTTCAACTTATCATTATCGATAATAAGCGTAATGATTGTAAATATTTTCAAAGCCATTCTTCCATATTTCATTAAAAGAAAAAAGAAAGAAAAAGAGAGATTGAAAAATAAATTCCGATCGTAAATTATTTTTTTTTTACAATAGATCCGATATCACAACTAGCAGCTTCAATCCTTTCCATTTAAATAAAGATGAAAAGAGAATTACAGCCTATTAACCCGAAATAACGAAAGATTTAGTCACGATTAAGAACTCACATTTATTCCATTTTATGATTATGTAATGTGCTATAATTCTCTTTTCTACAAAAAATTATGCGTAAAAGCAATACTTTAAAGATATTTAATGGTTGATTATTTATAGACGGCTACTGATGACTACATATGCAAGCACCCGGACGTTTTTTTCTGCATTTGAGGAAACATTTTGTAATGATAAATTACAAAATGTAATTTTGAAATTAAATAGTTAATTTCAGATTTACTTCCAAATTTCAAATGGAAGTTAAAAACACACTGAATATCATAACCACGTTTTAATTTAAGTAAAAACTCAAAAAAAAAGAAGGGATTAAAAAAAAATTCAGTTTAATCAAAATTGAAGATTGAATTATGTTTAGAAAGATTTTTTTTTTCTTTTTTTTTTAGATAGCGAGATATACATATATTATTTTTATGTTGTCGTTTTTGTTTTATATTTCAGGCCTAGTTATACGGTTGCATATATATGTATATATATAAGTGTGTGTGTGTGTGTAAATTATATATATATATATATATATTATATATAATATATATAATATATATATATATATATATATATTATATATATATATATATATATATATATATATATATATATATATATATATATATATATATATATATATATATATATATATATATATAATATATATATATATTATATATATATATATATATATATATATATATATAATATATATATATATATATATTATATATATTTTTTTTTTTTTTTTTTTTTTTTTTTTTTTTTTTTTTTTTCTTCACTTTGTCGTCTTTTTCTGGTTGCAAATAAATAAGTAAATAAAATAAAGGTAGCTTAGCACTCTTGATATTAATGAAGATGACAGTCACTTTTTTCTCATTTCAATAAGAATGTAAATTTACTTTTTTCCGTCTTTTTTCGAGGCTTTTAGTATTTTTTTCTTGTATCTTATCTTTATTTATTCATTTATTTATTTTCATTCCCCCCATTTCAAAATCAGAAATATATATTTTATTACCCTTTATCAAGATCCTATGTCCACTTCCCGTTTTCTTTTCACTTGTATATTTATTTCCTTCTGTTTTATTCACCTAATTTATTAAATCTTTTTATTATTCCCGTGTTCTTTTCACTTGTATATTTATTTCCTTCTGTTTTATTTACCTAATTTATTAAATATTTTAATTTTCCTGTTTTCTTTTCACTTGTACATTTCTTTCCTTTTGTTTTATTCACCTAATTTATTGAATATTTTCATTTTCCTGTTTTCTTTTAACTGGTATATCTATTTCCTTCTGATTCATTCAACTAATTTATTAAATATTTTCATTTTTCCCGTGTTCGTTTCACTTGTATATCTATTTCCTTCTATTTTATTCACCTAATTTATTTCAATCTTTCTTTTTTTCCCGTGTTCTTTTCACTTGTATATCTATTTCCTTCTATTTTATTCCTATATTTTATTAAATCTCTTTATTTTTCTTAAGGTCTTACCCTCCTGACGGTCGTCGTGTTTCTGCTCCCTCCTGCGGCGGGAGAAAAAATCGTCTTTGGAGGCCTATGTCTTCTTCTGGACACCGTCTTCATAGGCTACTGCACCTTCGTCGTCGGACATGCGCCTACTCACACGCCCCTTATAGGTAGGTGGAAGATGTGTTTGTGTGTGTGTGTCTGGAAGGGGGAGGGGGGTTATGTATGTTTCTTTGTGGGGTGGGGGAGGGAGTGGGTTATGTATGTGTTTCTGTGTGTGTATGTGTG